AAGGAGTGTACCCCAGGGGATGGAGGACCATGGGCCAGGCAGGGAGCAGCCACACAGGCCAAGGGGTGTCCCCTGCCTTGTCCTGCGCCCCTCAGCAGGGTTGCTGCAGGGGCCAGAAAGTCTCTCTCCCTCTCCCCTCTCCACCATGGCTGGGAGCGAGAGGGCTGCAGAGCAGCCACAATCTATGCCACCAACTTTGGTCCAAAGCCTTGGGCAGCTGCACAGGGAAGCAAAAGCACAGGGAAGGGGGCAAAGCAGGGTCTGGGGGAGGCACCCCCCAAATCACCAGCAGAACTGGGGATGGGAGGTCCAGTCTGGGCACAGTCAGCATGTCCCTCCCACCCCAGGGCTCACAGGCAGGATGCCTGGCAGTTAGCTGAGCTCCTGCCTCAGTTTCCCTCCTGGCATGATCCACCTAGGAACGATGCTGCTGCAGCACAGGGACAAAGCAAGCAGTTAAGCAGCAATGAAAGCTTCCACTCACCATGCTTTCCTGTCCTGCAAGCAGCTTTGTAGGGCCAGAGGGAGCGATCCCCTCATCCTTCCCCTCCCTCCCCACCCCCAGGCACAGCCGAGCCTGGGATGCAGCCCAGGGGTGCGAGAGCTGGTGCCACAGAACTGGAGCAGAGCATCCCAGGGCACCAGTGGACCAGGTAAACTGCCTGTCACCTCCTCACCCTGCATGTGCCCCGATGCCCAGGGCCAGGCAAGCTGCATCATCCTTCAAATGGGTGTCTACAGGCACGGGCAGGGGCTGGACAGGGCTGAGGGGACCTTTCACACAACCATCACCCCTGGGAGTCCAGGGACCACCTGGCCAAGTGGTCCTCACCTCCCTCCTACCACGCACAGAGTCCTCCAAATGGATCTGGGCTCCACCAAGCGTGCCCCACACACACCGTTCAGCACCTTGCATGGCCCCTCCCCAGCCGGGCAGCACTTCGTGTGTCCCCCCACCCTGCCCAAGGGCCATGAGGGGGCTCTGGGAAGAGCCAGGAGCAGGGAGTGCAGCAGGGACCCATCCTGCCCGGGCCCTGTCTGCTCTGCAGGCTGGTGCTGAGTCTGACAGCTCATGTTTGTGCTGTTCAGGGTGTGGTGACCACGGACCCTGGGGACACGTTGCTCCTCTAGAGGTGCTGGAAAAGACCCCGGTGACCACTTGCACGCTCACACACAGTCCCGGTCCATGGCACCCCAGCACACACCAAAGTCACCACCGTGCAGCAGACACCCTGCCAGCCCTGTCCCCTCCCCGTATCCCCAGTCACTGGGACTGTGCACAGAGCAGGCAGGACACCCCACTCCTCGCACCAGGACCCCCCTGCTCGCCCCTACGAGCAGCAGACGGATAGCGCGTT